CCCCAAAACCCCAAAACCCCAAAACCCCAAAACCCCATGAGCTGAAATTGAGAAGAAATCGACAATTATTAATAACTTTTAATATAGAAAAGAGATATTTATCAGTTATTTTATAATGGAAAAAATAAATATCAAAGGCCAAATAATATTTATGGACCCTAAATTAAGTATTGATAGAGAGTTTTGTATATGGAAAGAATTGGAAAACGGGAATTTTCTTTCTTAGCAGCGATATCTTCATCATAAAGGATAAGATATCTAAACAAAAGTCAATACTTAGACACTGATCTAAAGATAAAAGCTTCAATCATAAAATTTGGAGAAAAATCAAATAGCATATCATTAGAAGCATGGGTATGTAATATTAGAAAGAGACAATAATGTTTAGGCTAAAATAGATATGGGACCCAGTTTTGATTTATCTGGATTACCCAATACATGGGAATGTATAGTTTAAAATAAAACTGATGAAAAGATAGATTAATAATTAAAGAATGAAGAGCCAAAGAGAGTTAATATCAAAGCAAGTGAATTAAACTTTTAGATATAGTTAGAGACACTATGTATCATTGAAAATTAGGTTACTATATAAAAGCATAGAGTTAACATCAAAGATCCAATCTTATCACTCATTCATCCAATAAAAAAACTTTATCTGTGCAAATTATCAGCATTTTTATTTGAAAAAGAACTAGAATTAAGCAATACCTTCATTAAGGAGTAGATTTAAAACAACTAAAAAATTGTTTTGCACGGAGTAAAAACTGATAAAAACCTTGATGGCGATCAAACTAGATTTTTTCAAAGATTCAAAACTTGTACTCCAGATGGAGGATGGGGATGCAATGGTAGTATAATGGATGGAATAAAAATATTGTGCCATAAGAGTGTAATGTTTTAAGGAGTAGCTATATTTGAGGAGTCTGATACAGATACACCCAAGCCATTCACTCTGTCATATTAGTATTCACTTATTGATTAATTTGGAAATGATATTTACTAGAGCGAATTAATAAAAGAAGAAGTTAAATACTCTTCAACTGATGTCAATGAAGTGCACTTCTTCAAATATAAATTCAAGACATTTCCAAAAGGCATAAAAGTTGAGGAAGGCTAAACTATTTGCTATTAGCAACAAACATCTATGGAATAGTCATTTTATTCTATTTCTGGCGTAGAATATGACAGCATTTAAAATCCAGATATGGGTATTTTTAAATTGAAAAATTATGAAGAAGGGCAAAGCTACACTTCTATAGGTGTTGGTGTTATACCTGGATTTCTTTATTAATTGATTTGATTTTGAAAAGTTTGAAATT